TATATATATATATATATATATAGAAAAAGCATACGAGCCCTAGTTGTTTGTCCATTGGTTCTTCCCTAGCCTACTCGCCACTCTCTCTCTCTCTCTCCCTCCGTCCACCCCACCCCTCCATCCAGGTAACGTTCTGTTTTTCTTTCCTTTTTCCCCTTAATTTATTATGCAATTCATTTGCAGTTTCACATTAAATATGTTAGTAGTAGACGTGCTGACTTGACTGATCGAAAATTGACGTGGCAAGTTAAATTCATACGAATATAAAATGCTCGACAACTCGGTGCCATGCCATCTAGCAAAAAACACGTCTTCATCAAAGGGCTATACCAATTTCATAAAACATGACATAACAAAATCAAAATCCACCATCACTGCAAAGCTCGAAGTGAGTTTATCCCCATCCCAAATCTCTCAAACCCTAAGTGTCTGAACGTAGAAGGCAACTTAAATTCCCAAATCAATTGGCCAAGCTCCATCCCTAAATCCCCCAAATGACTATGAAATTTATCCCATCCCTAAATCCCCCAAATCACTAAGATATTTAGGGATGGAGCTTAACCAATTGATTTGGGAATTTTCGTCTACTTCGTTCAAACACTTAGTGTTTGAGAGATTTGGGATGGATGTGTACTGTTGTAGGAAGTCAAACAACGCAACCCCGACGAGATTGTTGGCTAGCCACAATTGATAAATTATGTAACGAATATTGATTCCTACATAAATGTGGATGAATATTTTCAAATTTCTAATACTATGAATGGTTGTTTTTTATGATTGTTATTGCATTTTGAGGTTTTTTCAATTGATGGTTTTAATAAGTGAAATCGGTGTACATGTACAAAATTATTGAGGCTTATATCAACTGAAGTTAGATTACTTTCTATAGAGGGAAAATGTTGATAATGTATTTGTGATAACAAGTCATATTCAATGCATTACATATCACACACATTCACAGTTATCACAAGTCCGATTACAAGCAATCACATTTAACACATGCATGGTTACAAACAATCACATGGAACATGGGTCTAGTTATAAATAGTCACAGTTAGCACAAATATGATTACAAACAGTTATAAATAACATAGACATGGTTACAACAAGAACAATTTACACAAATCTAGTCACAAATGGTTACTAAAAACACATATAATAGGTCATATTCATGTAGATATTTTATGAAATACAAATTCTAGTAAAAAATTTATAACCTAGTTAATAATAGACTCCTATTAAAAACTTATGAAATACGAACTCCCATTTACATAGACGTGGTCACAAACAATCACAATTAACACGTCTGGTCACAAACAATCACAATTATCACATACATGATCACAAATCGTGATGGTTAACATAAACATGATCACAAATAGCACAGAAAACACGTCCAAATGTCACATTCATGTAGAAATTTTATGAAATACAGACTTTTGTTAAAAGACTTTTTTATCACACAAGATGAATTTCAAATGCATGATCAACGGTAATTCTTATTGAAATAAAATTAGAATTCAACAAATCCAATAATACACCGCCTTTGAATAAATCAAAACAACTTACAAACATAAAAGAATATCCTAAAGTTATTACAAAAATAAAATAAAATAAAATAAATTGGACTATGTGAATTGATTTATGTAATTCCGAGTTCTTGATTTTGTTATTATCACGTCTATCTTGATTTGTTGCATTTATATTATATTGTTGAATTATTATAATTTTTTTTGTTGTGACAAACTGTTTACCGTTGAATGTGCATCAAACGTTTGAAACACTCGATGTGTTTATTAATTCCATTTACGTGAGTGTTCTTCGTATTTATAATGGTTACCCTAATATCATATTTAATACTGATTAACAAATTTATTGATCTCGTTGCTAATTATGTTTTGCAGTAAAATGTGCATTTAACGTCCTACATGATCAACGTGCTTAGAAGAATGAATTATAATAATGTGTATATAATTCTATTAAAATGAAAATAAAATATAGGATATATTCACTTAATTGTATGCTCATAGTTCTATGACTTGCCATTTTTAAGTAAATAAACTTAGATATCTCTTTGGAACTTTCATATTTTTATATTAAGTAAATGGAATTTACTTAACTTGATTAGTAATTAAGCTTTGACAGACTAATGAAATCAGAGAATTGAGATTTTATTAATTACTTGTGTTGGCCCGTGCGATGCACGATATTTGTGATTTTTAAGGTTCCGTTAGCATTGGATATAGAATTTCCATTGAATCGTGCAGAAAGTTTAAATATGATAGAACACTGAATAATTAAGAGGCATTTGGAGTAACATATTTTGTCAATAATATGTAGAGTTATGTTATTGTGAGATGGTAGAAAAATTATTTCTGTTAAATATAGGTAAAGAAAAGTGTTGTAACATGTGATTAAGTGTAAAGGGTAATAAATTTGTATGTACCTTTGTGCATGCAATTATGAGATTCCTTCAGTTTAGAAAGTATTGATCGAAACAAATATTAGTTGTAATTTTTCGTCTATATAAAGTCATCCTGTCTGCTGAAACTGATTCTATTGGATATCCAAGCACGAAGCATTCTATGTACTTGAGCAAAAAAACTCTACAGTTTGGCCCGCGAAAAGAAATTGGTTTATGTTAAACGAAATTAGTCTCATAGATAGATACTTGAGAATGAAATGTTATAAAAAACAAGAGACAATTAAAATGCTTACCCATTATTTACACAAGGTTGACATGGTATAATGTCCACGTCTATAGATGTGTTTGCAGTTTTCTTTACGTAGTGTCTGTAAGCAAAAAATTCTGTAGCAAGACTGCAGTTAAGTCTTCGACTGCATTTAAATGGGCTCTGATCAGGTCCCGCGTATGTACGTTGTTGCTACAGTCATAGATTTCACATTTCCATTCAAAGATATTTACGTGATAGAGGTACCAATTGTTGCTTGGTAATGAACATGGACGTAATAGATGTTTGCATCGTATCCACGGATGACCATCAATTGGAAGAGTGTCATTTACATAGTTTTGTAAAGTGGTTAGATTCCCTGAAGTTCTAATAGTGCCTTCTTTGTAGATTTCAATGTGTAACATCATATGATTATTACATTCATTCTCGTAGTTGAAGTCTAGAATTGCATAATCTTTTGATACGGGTGTAGAGTCGGCATTGATGAGTTGGCATAATAATTTCAATTCCAATTCAAGACTCTAATAAAAAAAAATAGACTTAAATTAAATATAAGAATATAATATATTATGATGAATGAATTTTACTTACCGGAATAATGATATTTTGTGTTATGTCCGTTGTGGCTTTTATGAATTCTCTTCCTTGGTAATTATTGGGTCCAACTTCCCAATATGCACTGTAGAAAATGACTTAATTTAGTTTGACAAAAATGAAAGTAAAATAATAATATTTAAGCTAATGAAATAGAATTAGATTAATTACTCTAGTGGATTTTGCAGCATCCAATCTCTACTTGTTTTATATCTGGCGATAGAGTAGTCTTCTAAAGGATAGTTTGTTGGTGGCTATGTCTTTTTTCCTTTAGTTTTTCGTTCTTTTGACAATCTTGTAACATTTTCAGTTTGTTGAGATGTCGAGGTATGTGCTAAAACGGGGCTCCTATGAACAAGAACATCTTGCTGAAGGGAACCTATAGCAGCTTTTTATTTGATTTCCAATCTGATAATTCGTTCAGTATGTTGTTATTTTGTTCGTTGATGTAATATTGTAGTGAATTGAAACTGTTATCCACATAATGCTGCATGCTAGATTGTATGCCTCGGTAATGTTCTTCTTGTTATTGTTGTTGTTGTTGGAAGAACTGTTGTTGGTTCTCAAGAAGTGTTTGATATTGCATTTCTTGTCTTCTTGATTGCTCCGAAATGCGTGAGGCAAATAAAGTGTCACACATACCTAAGACATCTGACACTATCTGTTGTTTTTGTATATTTAGCATATGTTCCAGTTCTTCTTTAGTGACATAATTAGAACCAATGTAGGTAGAACTTGGGCCAACTTTAGTTTCAATAGATGTTCTTGAAATACCAGGCCCAGTTGGCATGTTATTAGTATTTTCCTGGGTTTGTGAAGGCACATTGTCTAATTCCCCAAATAGAATGCCATCAAGTATATTGTGGTAGTTATCTTGTGGCAACGAGAGAGTTGCATACCACGATGTCTATAATTCTTCTTCTATTTGCTTTAGTATTGCAAGTACTTCAATCTGTAATTACAATGAAACAATTTAATAATTTATGATAATTTTCCTTGGTGAAAAACAAAAATATAATCAAGTGAATAATATTATGCGGTAAATGAACATAAGTAAATAATAAAATTACCTCTTGTGCATCTAAGAATTGTTGAATTGTTTTTTCTGATAATAATGTTTTTGGCCTCCATTTGTGCATTCTTGGACA